GGATAGTACTGATTTTCTTTTTATTCCCTTCTGAGGAAGTGTAATTGTTCATCACATTGTTCCTAGTAAGGAATCAAAACAGAAATCACTCCCCTATTTTAAAAGTCCTAGTTCTGGGCTGCATGACTGAAGGATGTCTAAACAAGTGGTTAAACTTTGGGCCCCAATCCAAAGAGCTGAGGTTTTTGGTGAGGTCTCAGTCCCAAAACAATGTATAGAAAGGAGCTCTGGAGAGAAGCCCAGTCAGGAGGCTGGGACAGGCAGAAGTGGGGTGAACCTAGGATTCAGGGCCCCAAGTCTAGGAGCCACCAGGTGGGGAGGGGAGGGAATGATGGTGCCCCATGTGGCAGGAACTACACATGCAGTCTCTCATTTGATAATTCCAATGGTCCTCTGAAGTTGTTACTTTTAGTCCCATTTTATAAAGAGGAAAAACAATCTATGAGATTGGTATTATCCCTGTTTTACAGATAAAAGCCCAAAGTAGGTGTATTAGTCTGTTCTCACATTGCTATAAGGACATACCCATGACTGTGTAATTTATAAAGGAAAGAGGTTTAATTGACTCACAGTTCCACAGGACTGGGGAGGCCTTGGGAAACTTATACAATCATGGTAGAAGGGGAAGGAAACACATCCTTCTTCACATGGCAGCAGCAAGGAGAAGTGCAGAGCAAAGTGTGGGAGGAGTCCCTTATAAAACCATCAGATCTCATGAGAACTCCCTCACTATCATGAGAACAGCATGACTCAATTACCTACCACCAGGTCCCTCTCATGACATGTGGGGATTATGGGAACTATAGTTCAAGGTGAGATTTGGGTGGGGACACAGCCAAACCATATCCGTAGGTAAGAAAATTGTTCAGCTAGTAAAGTATAGAGGCAGAATTCAGACCTGGGTAGGCCTAACTCTAATGTCTGTGCATATTCTGACTCTATAGGAATTGCCTCAGGTGCTGGGAAGCCCAGACCCCAGTGATGTGGCGCACTTGAGTAGTCTCCTTCTGTGGTGAGCTGGGCTGTGCAAGAGAGATGGTAATGAATATGAAGATCAACTTGCTGGCAGCAGACCAGGTGGCTGGTCAGCAGCGTCAGAACCAGACACTAGGAAAATTTGGTCCCTATGAAAAGACGCTTTACTAGTAAAGTGAGCAAAACATACAAACAGACAATTCATAGCAGAGAAGATCCAACCTGCAAAAAACAAAAGCCAAAACAAACCAAATCAAAACAAAATAATGATATTAAAAGTCTCTCAACCTCATTACTAAGTGGAGACATGCAGGTTAAAATAAAATTTTTATACCTATAAAATTGGCAAAAAATGTAAAAATCTGCTGATATCAAATATTGGCAAGAATCTGGTGTTAAGTGTGATTATGTATTGCTGGTGGGAGTAAGAATTACTACTACCATGTTGCACAACAATTTGGCAATACCAATAAAGCTAAAGATGTGTAAACACTAGGCCCTAGGAATTCCACTCCTATATTGGGACCTCTGAAGAAACTGGCACATGTTCACTAGAAGGCATTTAGAAGAACATTTATAGCAACACTGTCCATTATAGCAAAAACTGGGAAGCCACTCAAACACCCATCGATGGGAGAATGCATAAATGAATTGAAATTGATTTATACAATCAAATACCATACAACAGTGAAAATAAATGGATCATAGCCACATGGAACAACGAGAAGAGGTTCATAAACAAATGCTGACTGGAGAGAAAAGTAAATTGCTGTATTCAACATGATACCATTTATGTCAAGTACAAATCTTGTAAAACTAACAGTGGATATGTGCAATAAACCTCTCAGGAAAACAAGGGAATAATATGCATAAAACTCAGAGTAACAGCCCATGCAACAGGAGAAATCAGAGGTATGAGATCAAGAAAGGTGTGTAGGGGACTTTCTTGATTTTATTTCTTAGAATTTCTGGATATTAGGCATATACATCTACACATACAGACGTTCATTTTATTATTTGTTATAATTTATTCATTATCTATCATTCATTATTCATTATCTTAATCATTATGTCTATCTATCTATCTATCTATCTATCTATCTATCTATCTATCTATCTATCTATCTATCTATCATCTATCTATCTCTTTTGAAGGGATAATTAATAAGTTACCAAAAGAGATCTGAAGCATATAAAACAAATTGCAAGGAAAGCAAGACAATGGGAAATTGGCAATTGTATAGACAGAACTCCACAGATCCTCTGGAAACCAAAGGACAGTGAAGGAATCGGGTTTACATCAGGATGGGGTCACTTTTCTGGGGTCAAGAATTGATTTATGTTCTCATGCTGGCTGTTTCTCCAATGCTGTCTTTTTCTATAACTGCCTTTGCTCACAATAGCTCCTCCATCTGCAGTGCTATTCCTTTAGCTTTGCTTGTCTGAAGTGTGTCCTTAAGTATTAGGTCAAATTTTACTTTCTTGTATTTATTTTCTACTTACGGAAAGCCTACTACATACCAGACCTGAAGCAGCCAAGAGTTAACAAGCTGTGGTCCCCAGGCTTGCAGAGATGGCAGGAGAACAAGAGAGCAGACAGACAAAGGAGCAGAGAATCATACTATAGTAGTGCTTTTCCGAATTGCTGGCACATAAAAGTCAGCTGTGGAGCCGTTAAAAAGCAGATTCTCAGGTGTCCCTGGCAATTCTGGCAGACTAGGTCTGGGTGGGGTACATTAACTTGCTCTTAAGAAACTCTCCCTGAATTTGATGCAGCTGGTCCACAGACCTCACTTGGAGAAACGGCTTGTTGGTGTGATAAATGCTACAACAATAGCAAAGGTGCTTGGGCATGGGAGCCCCAAAGAGGGCCACCTCTCCCACCTGAAGCATGGGCATTAAGTCAGAGTAGCTTCCAGGAGGCCCCTCTGTAGAGCATCCTCATTTGTTATTTGTAGATGTGAGTCATCTTCCCCCACTGCAGGGAACACTGTTCCCTGGTTTACCTTTGCTCCAGCACAAGGCTTGGCATGCAGTATATGTCAGGAATGTTTTATTCAATGGGATTTCAGAGCAGCAGGCTGGACTAGGGAGCAGGCCTAGTATCCAGGCCTTGGGTGGCAGCAGGCCCTGGGGACCAACAACTCCTTTGTCTCTCTGGTGTGTTTAGATTGGCCTATCTCCAAGTATGTGTTGGGGACTAGGGAAGGTTACTCGTTTGGGTCTGACTGGTATTCATGTCTGAGCTGGGGACTAGGATAGCATCTGCAACCATGTTGAGATTAAGGAGATGGGATTGATTGAGACATTTCCCCACTAACAACCCTATAGCTTCTTAGCAATCAGCTTTATCTGTGCTAGAAGAAGGAAAGGGATGAAGGCCGGATGGGGCAAGAGGTTTCTTATGTTGGCAATAGGGCCGCTTCCTGCTTCTAGCCCCCGCTTCCCTTCCCTTTTGCAGGCCCAAATGAGGCCCCCCTCTGAGGGCCTGTTAGTTAAACACCTGGCATGAGTCCAGTTCTGCCAGGGACTGCCTGGCTGCTGTTTGTTCCCTTTTATTAAGCACATCCAGGTGAGTTTTATTGCGGACAGTTCCCTGGGCTCCTGTTTCCACATTTGTCTCCTTTGAGTCTGAGATTGCCAAAGGCTTTCACAGCTAATGGACCTTACAGCTCCCAAGAGCCATTTAAGGGAGGCACAGAACTCAGTGGTGGTAATTAGTCAAACGAAACGCAGACCTCTGGAAGCCCACTGGAGCTAAGTGGCAGGAAGATGTAGGGACAGAAGCCTCGGGTCTGTGGCAGGTGTAGGGAATGAGCATGGGCTGCACCTCCCCCCACCTCTCCTGTTCTTCCCCCGCCTCATCCCCTACCTCCTACTCCTGACCTGAGAAGGACTTGGTGCTTGGTAGCAGGGTCCCCAGGCAGGCTGTTGTCTAGGGCATCTGAGGGTCTGCAATAGCACGGCGGAGCTAACCGTGACAAGCTCCTGCCTTCTTTTTCTCTAACAAGTCTTGTATACTGACCCTGATGGAGGCTGAAGTCTGAGCTCAGGTGCCACTTCTTAGTAGGCAGGATAATATTCTGTTCAAAACCTGGGCTTTGGCACCAGACCATTGTGTTCAAATGCCAAACCAACTACTTTTAAAGTTCTTGATCTGGGGCAAGTCTATGAAAGTTTCTGTGTCTCAGCTTTCTTGTCTGTAAAATTGAGATAATACTGACTTCAAAGGGTTATTGTAAGGAATAGATTGTATAACATCATGTTCACTCTACATAGAGCAGTACCTGGCATACTGTAAGCACGTGCTCAGCAGCAGCTGTTATCATGCCAAGAGCAGGTCTGACTCGGGCAGAGCTTGAAAACATGTTCTTATCTGGAATTCATGTCCCATCAGTTTCAGGTTTGCTTCTCACTGGTTGGGCACAGAAAGCAAGGCCCCCAAGGAAGCAGCCCCATTTCTATGGATGGTGGAGGACAAGATGGGGAAGAGAACCCTGAGCTCATCCTGTTGCTAAATCAGAGGAAGGGAGGAAGGAGCCAATATTTCTTGAGCATCTCTTCTGGATCAGGCATTGCCTGCTTTATCTCTTAAATCCCCCAATACCCTGTTGAAGGGTGAGGAAATAGAATATCAGAGAGGCTAAGTCACAGAGCAAAGAAGAGGGGTCTAAAATTGGAGCTTGGGGATGTGAGATTTCTAAGTGACTGTTCTTTCTGTGGCAATTTGCTGTGGTATCACCAGGGCCCTGTCTCTGGACACAGGACTTTATGTCTGCTATTTAGAAGACCCATGGAAGTTTACTGATCTCTGCTTGAATCAAAGAAGAGGCCTCCAGGTGCCAGAATTTGAGTCATTCTGAGGGCCTTGTCACTGGATTGTCCCTGGCTCTACATGTAGTCCTGGGCTGTTCTGGGAAGGCAGAGCTGGCTTACATGGAGGGGGCCTGAATCTGTCTCATTAATGTCATGGGCAGTGGTGTCTTCCTAGGGTTCACAGGGAAGCTCCCTCTCTCCATCTGCAGGTGGATGGCATTCTGTGCTTGGCCAACATCCTGACCGACGACAGCCACCCAGAGGCCACACGGGCTGAGGCTGCGGCTGTGGTGGCCCAGGTCACCTCCCCACACCTGCCTGTCACCCAGCACCTCAGTAGCTTCCTGGAGAGCATGGAGGAGATCGTGACAGCCCTCATCAGTGAGTCACCCTGGGCAGTGGGACCACTAGGAGAGAGGGCATTGGGACAGTTGTCTTCAGGAATAGATAGGAAGGCCTTCCAATCTGCCACTCGTTGCACCCCAGGTATCTCCTGTATAGATGATCACATTTGCTGAAATCCCACCATTAAGGGATCAGAATTAGGCTTTGAAGACCTCTATTGTCAAGAGTTTCTTATTAAAATGCATGCAGCCCTCTGAGAAGCAAGTTGAATTATTGTCAGTTTGGGATTAATTGGCATTTCAGAAGGGAGACCAGGACAAGCCCCAGAAAGGAATGGAGCCTCAAATTTTGAGGTTCAGATACTTGGATAAAGAGACTCTGATAGGCATTTTTCCTAAATTCTCAATCCTTGTACCCAGTGACTATCACAGTAATGACTGGGGCAAATGGTTTCTCAGAGAGCACTAGCTCACCACAACCTGCTTCCTGAAAATCACACCATTGGTCTCTCATCATGGGGCCGTGAAAGTGCTGACTCTTCTAGGTTCACCTATTCAAACATATGCACTGCTAGCAGGAGAATCATAGCTCTGTATTTAAAATATGCTCTTTTCTTAGCTTTCCTTTGCTAAGCTATAGAAACTGAAAGGGCTGGTCTGGATAACAATCCCCAGGGAATTGTTTTGTGAACCACCTCTTTCTTTTAAAAGTGCTGGTGGTGATGTGTGTTTCTATTTCTCTGTCACTCTCTTTATATCTATATATTATTGAAATTTCATTTCATTTCATCAGGAAATGTAAGATTAACTCTTGGAGTCACCATACCAGGGCTGGGAATATCTGAAATAGCAAGAACTTAGGGGCAACATAACACTGGGCTAGGTAGGAGTCAGAACCCTGGGTTTGGACTCTAGCTTTTGACTCATGCATTCAAGTGGCTCTGGGCAGCAAGTCTGTGCCAGTGCTGTGTGAGATCCCACCACTCACTCCTTACCATATCTCACTGTAAAACCCACTTCACAATTTTCCTAACATAAACAAGACATTGCAACTTGTTTCTCTCAAGGGTCCTTCTAACTCTAGAATTTGGAGATCTGCAAGTACTTTGCACAGAGGAGACATCAGTTATGTTGACTTTATGGCTGATTCTAGTCATGGGGGCAGTAGCACTCACAGGTCAGGCTGGGAGAAATCAATTTGCCAATGTCCACATTTATTCAAAATTGAGAAAACATGGAAGCCCATTGTTGAAAGTCTTGGCTAGAGGGAGCTCAAGAGACCCTATAGTTCCTTGCATACTCTCTAGGTGAAGAAATCTAAGCCTAGAGAGGTTAAGTTACTTTCTCAAGGTTACACAACAGCATTAGGACTCACTTATGCCAGAGTCCCATATTCAACATCCTCTAGAGCCCAGTAAGAAACATGAATGTGTTGAAGAGCACCACATGGAAGAATAAAGGTGTTTGAGACCTGTGTCAGATTGAAAAACTCATGCAGTGTCTAAAGGGATGGTCACTGGTAAATTTCAGTTGATTGTTACCATGTGGGAAAGGCATAGACTTTTAAAGATGAGACAAAATTTGTAAATTTTATAGAAAATTTCTCTACTTATAAACATTATCAAATAAACAAAGTACATATAGTCCAAGTGACCTTTCACTATTGTCATATATTCATTCTTGCTTTACTTCCCAGGCTGGGTTTCTCCCTGGAGCCAAGGAGTCTTCCTATTATTTCATCCTGATGAAGATGCATTGTAGAGTTCACTCTGAGATTCAGCAGATATATTCCGGGCAGGAAGCCATACTTCTGCTCTTTGGTGGGAAATAGCCCTCCAACTTCTTGCCATTCCCTGGAAACATTTATAAATGAGTCACTGGAATCCTCAATTTAATCTTCCTAACACATCCCAGGTGACTCAGACTGTAGTTCAAATAAATGTGCAGCAAAATTAAAAGGCACTTAGGTAGTTGTGTTAATAATTGCTGTGTCAGCAGCAATAGCAACTGAATGAGAATTAGGAGGAGTGTTTGGACCTAGAAGGAATCTCACAGGAAAGTGGGCCACCGTGCTCTGTAGACTCACCCAAAACCTTGGATGTAGGGAGGTGACCTGGAAGGGACTGGAGACTCCAGTGATTTTCCCAAAATCAGAGGATGGGACAATCACTGGATAAAGGGAATCAGAGTTCTTAATATTTCAGCTAATCTGTTGTCCCAGTCCTGGTGGTTGGATCAAGAGTTTGAGTTGTTTAATGGTCACACCTGGGCTGTGGGGAGCAACATTGCCCAGAGGCAAGTGTTTCCCTCCTGATAGAACTGAAACCCACATCTCTGGAAGCATCACTGGGAATGAGCCAAAGAGGCTGAGAGACCAGAAGTAACCTGGAGAATAAAAGAATGGGGACTTTGGAGTCAGGCAGACCTGGATTTGATTCTAGCCTCAGTCAGTTACTTATTGGCCATAAGACCATGGGCAAGTCACTTAATATATGAATCTTCAATTTCTTCATTTACAAAACAGTGATAAAAATGGGATTGTTGTAAGGAGAAGTAAAAATATGTACAGCAGTGAGTAAACAATAAATGGTAGCTGTTGCTACTACTAGCTTCTCTAAGACTCAGCTAGTTGTAAATGTGGACAATCATTTTCTACTTTGAGGGTATTCAGAATTTAATGGCATAGTGTAAGGCCCACTGCAGGTGTTTGACTAATGTTATTGGTAGAAAAAGGGTTTTATTACTAAAACTAAAATGTAGGCATCAGAAGGTGCATTCACAGGTAGATGCTAGGAGGTCGCATTTGCATCAGAACCTGGAGGTATAGGTTTGTCTGGAGGCAACTAGGGACCAGGATAAAACATAACTCAATTTTGTCTCTTGAACTTTTTTTCTCTCCTGAAGCTCTTTTTCTGAAGTATGTCTTGCCTTTTGTGGTTTTGTGGAGATGTTATCAGTAGGAGAGGGTCTGGACCACAGAAGTACCTGGATTGATGGTCAGGTTGGAGCTGAGGGCTAGACATCAGGTCTACTGAAATGGGAGAAGCACCATGGATAGAATCAATCTATTCCTCCTCCTGAGATGGGCGTCCATTCCAGGTTCTGTGGAGCCCATGAGGGATGTGTCGGGTGGTGGAAGGATGAGGTCACTCTGCTCCTTAAAGGTCCTTAGTACAATTACAGATGGTAAGTGGGGGAGTTTGGTTAGTGCTGAGCTAGGACCACTAGGATTAGAGATTAAGAGCCTGACATTCAGGAGCTTGGTATAGGACTTTCTTGCTGCCAGATGCCTCTTATCCCGGGACCAAAAGGAAGCACCAAGGCTCTGTTGATGGCAGCTGGAGGGGTATAATCTCTCTGTTTTACCTTTAGTCTCTTCCTTAAGGCAAGGTTAGCAGCAGGCTAGTGTGCATTACTGGAGAAACAAAGGGACTGGAAGCTCCTTCCCACTTCATGGGCTTTGTATTTCTTTTTCCTTTGGTCTAGAATATTCTGTTTCCCCAAGTAATTTTTATGACTGGCCCCTTTCTTCCTTTAAGGTCTCAGCTGTAAAGTCACATTGTTAGGGACACCTTTTGTTGCGCACCTCAGTGGGCGACTAGATATGCTGTCTTAGCACTTGTTCATTTTCTCCCTCATATTTATCAGACTTTGGAATTATGCATAATTTTTTAAAAGTTCATTTTCTTGCCCACTAGTAGAGTGTGAGTTCAACAAGGGCAAGGACCTGAACTGTTTTGTTCACTATGCCATCCCAATACCCCATTGGCACCTGGAACGTAGTGCTCATTCAATAAATACTTATTGGTTGAAGGAGTGAGTAGAGTTACATGCCATGTTTTAAATCCCAGCTTGGTCACTTGTGTAGACAGATACTGTTCCATCTGTAGTAACCACTTTCCTCATCTGCAAAATGGGTATTACAACACCTGCTCTGAAGATCTCCCAGAGCTATTGTGGGAACCAAAGGGACAACTGATATGAAAACACTTGGCATGGAAGTTATTTTCTTTCTCTTCACCATCCAGAACTGTGCCAAGAGGCCTCATCAGGGGAAGTCTTCCTATTGGCCTCTGCGGCCCTTGCCAACATCACCTTCTTTGACACAATGGCCTGCGAGATGCTCCTGCAGCTGAACGCCATTCGTGTCCTCCTGGAAGCCTGTAGTGACAAGCAGAGAGTGGACACGCCTTATACTCGAGACCAGGTAAGGTGTCCAGAAGGCACCAAGCCCAGGGCCTGTAGCCGTGGAGACAGAGGTTAGGAGGCCAGCACTTAGTTTCTGAGGTAGGGGAGAGGGCAGGGGAATCCTGTTAATTTTGCATGCTGTAAGAAGGTAAATATTCTCCATGTCTCTCATTGACCTTGAAGCCTCTTTATGAGACCTCCTACCCCTTTGGCTCATCCCATTGTGAGCTTTACATGCTGCAGAAAGGTAAAGGAATATATTTTCCATGTCTCTCATTGACCTTAAAGCCTCTCTATGAGATTTCCTATCTGCTTTGCCCATCCTGGCCACTTCAGGGCCTTCTTTAATCTCTTCAGATTGCCTGTTCTTGGAGGCAGAAAGACCCACAGAAAGTACCTGGACCTGCTCTGAAGTTCTGTGTCCTGGTCATGTTGGTGCCCATCTGACACTGAACCCTGTAGTGAACCACTTTCCTCTCTACCTTCATGAGAAACAGAGGCTTGGAGCAGAACCTTAATTCTGGGCTTCAGCCTCTACATCAGTCATAATTTTCTTTGTATATTTGAGCTCTGTGAAAGATTTTCTTTGGTAGAAAAGGGGTTTTACTACTAAAAGTGTTTGAAAACATAGAATGAGGGGCTTTTAAAGGCTTTTTGAACTCTGATGTCCTAGAATTTTATCCTGGTTCACCTCTGGCCCCCAACAAGGAGTGGGGGTGGTAGATTAGGTGGGCTTTAGGTCTCTGTAAATTCCTCCCAGTACCTAAGCTCTAAGTTAGATGATTCTCTCTCCCAATTCCTCCCAGTACCTAAGCTCTAAGTTAGATGATCCTCTCTCCCCCAACTCAGCTTATTCCTGTCTGCATTTTAGCTCCCACACCATCACCCCTTCCACCCTTATCTCTGAACTGAAGTTGCTTTGGTTTCTGTCCCATGCCAGCAGCTCCAGGAAGGCCTTTCCTGATGGTTTCAGCTCTCTGGAGTTGCCTCCTTTTCTTAGCATTTGTAACTCACAATGCAGTGTTGACTTATCTAATGACATTTATTCCTCTTAATTATTTCATGTGATTTTCCTCCTCTGAGGGCATGACCTAAGTTTGGAACTTCCCTAGGATTTTTAAGGCCTCTAGCCTAGAGCTGATAGCCTTGGTGAAGTTCCCTAAACTTCGTCAGTTATTTCTTATCCTTAGAATCACCTGTGAAAGGGCAGCTGACCATAGAAGCTCCTATTCAGAGAGAATTTTCTAATATCTAAGCATTTGCATATGAGAGTTCTAATACTACTGTGACACTGGTGATGTTTGCCTCATTTTGTAGATAAGAATATTTTGGCTCAAGAGGATATCCCCAAAATTAAGTGGTTGGCAGGCAGCTACCCAGCATTTAAATCAGGTTTACATTTAAATTCTTAGAACTTGATCTTTGACTCTCATCTGCTGTTGTCTTTGAAGAAAGGAGGTCGTGCAGCTGTTGAACCACAGACTGGGTGTTGGTCCTGCCTGGGCCATTTATCAATTGAGTGACATTGAGCAAGTCAAAGGCACCTGCGTGTTAGTTTTCCATCTATTAATTGGGACATTAATGTCTATGTTGCAGGGTTATTGTGAAGGTAAGTGTAATAAGATATGCAAAAACCTAATATAAGGCTTAGCCCCTACTAAGTTCATAATAAATGGTGAATATCATTATTTTTTAAACCTGATGATCCAAGGAAGAGCATTAATAGTGTGTTACCCGAAATCCTCAACTCAGCCTTCCAAACTGTATGACATGTATAATTCCAGACTTCCTTTCCAGTCTAATCTTTTACTTCTAAGAGTTGGATAAGTCTCTGGAGAGATAAGGTATGACAGTAACAGATAGAGTGGTGGCCCCTGGTTGGCCATTGGCCTGACTGGCTCCTGAGGGGGACATGCCCCGTGTCTACTGTAGACATATCCTTGGTTGTGGTGAGGGAGACAGGAGGGCGCACCCTTTGTGATCCACCCTATTCATGCTCTTGTTGTCTTCAGCTAGGTACCTCCAGTTGCTGGTCTCTCATGTACCTGACATAATTTTAGGTCCCTTCACCTTCAAGTGCCTCTCCTGTGGCTAACTCCAGTCATTTCATACAAGATCAAGTAGTGAGTCAGTAAGACCAGGAATTTTGGAGTCAGACAACCTGAATTTGAAGCTTTTTTGCTATTAATAATCATGTCACTTTGGGCAATTAACTTTGAGTCTTACTTTGTTAATCTGTAAAATGGAAATAAATAATACATATTTTACAAAGTTGAAATAAGAATTAAATAAGTTGATAAATATAAACTCTTGGTACAGACTCTGACACATAGAAACTATTAATTCAACAGAAGCCACTATCAATGTTATTATGATTGGCCTTTGAATGTGTGGCACACAGCACTGAACGGGAACCTCCAGAGAGGAGTTCCCTCATCTGTAAAAGAGTTATGGCTTCTTCCATTTTGGATGTCCTGTGACTCTATGTGTAGAAGCCCCCTTCTCATCACAAGGAGTGACTGGCCCACTCTTGAAGCCTCACTGAGTCCTAGGAAAAGGAGATCAGAGTAGGGAGAGAATGTGGTCATGCTGCCAGCAGATAGTTCTTTCTGCACCTGGAGTCAGTAGCTTTTCATGTTATTCCACTGTCTGAGCCAGGCATGTACCACCTGTCCTCAGGATGGCTTCACCTTCTGCCCTGGCTCAGAACAGCCACTTAGCTAGCGAAAGTGCACCCATTAAAGAAACAAATGGCTCTTTCCTGTGGCAGCAAAAGGATTAAGGTGATCAGGGCTCCCTGTAATGAAGACAAAAAAGATGAATTAGGCTTTGAAGTGCTCACTGCCCCCTGAAATACTTAGGAGATTCAATGCCCCATGAGGCTTCCGGTAATGAACCTGCCAATGACAACAATGCTGTGTGGAGCCTCTTGGTCCTGGATCTATACAGACCACCTCTGTTTGAACAATGAGAACTTCTCTATCATCCTGGCAAGCAAGGTCCACATAATTCGTCCAACAGAAGCATCGTTAGCCATGCCTATCCTGTAGCCAGCCTTGGAGTGTGGAAGTTGGTGAGGGCAGCCTTGGACCTAGGCTTTTCAGCTAATTTACAGGAAGGGGGCCTGGGCTGCAGCTGATATGCTCAGGCCTTGAGAAGCCCAACAAGTAATCTGGATAGTCCTATGTTTTCATGCCAAGGAGGTATTTCCAGGAGCCATACTTCCCATGGAATCAGCTACAGATCTGACAGGGGGAGGTAGGAAAGGGGCTGTCTCCAGATATATTGGTGAACCTCTGCCCTGCCTGTGAAGCAGGGACAATCTAGGATGGAAGGGACCTGATGATCTTGTCTAATGTGTAATAGAGATTTTACTGAGCCTGACTTTTTGTGGCCTTCAGGAATTAACTATTTTCATAAGGGTAGGAGTGCTACTATATACTTCCCACAATAATACACCATCTGTTTGGCATTTTAGAATGACCAGATTTTGTAATATTTCTGGGATTTCACTGTGAATACCGTTTATCAGAAAATGATAGTCACTAGAGGTTGTATTTTTGGCTCACATCTCAAAATCTATAGTTTATAAAGCTCTGTCATGTATATATATGATATATTAGAAACAGTGCAGCTTTTTAGTTCAGACAGATCTGAGTTCACATTCTGGTTCTGCCATTTCCCAGCTATGTGACCTTGGACAAATCACTTAACCTCTCTGAGTCACAATTTCCTCATCTGTGTAATGGAAATAATAACACTTGCTCCCTCCTTCATGTCATTATGATGAGTAAATGGAATAACACTAGTAAAGTACTTAAAACCAAAGTGAATACTCAATAATGAATGGGACAACAGTCTCTAACAGAACTGGAGGCTGGGGTAGGTTTGAGACAGGGAATGTCAGCTTTGAAACAGGAAGGTAGGGTCAGGAAATGTAGTTAACGTGGTGGTCACTGTATTGGTCTGTTCTCACATTGCTGTAAAGAAATGCCTGATGTAATCCCAGTACTTTGGGAGGCTGAGGTGGGCAGATTGCCTTGGTTTATGAGTTCAAGACCAGCCTGGGAAACATGGCGAAATCCTATCTCTAAAAAAAAAAAAAATTAGCCAGGCGTGGTAGTGCACACCTACAGTCCCAGCTATTCGGGAAGCTAAGGTGGGAGGATGGTTTGAGCCTGGGAGATGGAGGTTACAGTGAGCCAAGATGGTACCACTGCACTACAACCTAAGCGATACAGCCAGACCTTGTCTCAAAAATAAAAATAAAAATAAATTTCCTGAGATTGGGTAATTTGTAAAGAAAAAAGGTTTAATTGGCTCACGGTTCTGCAGGCTAAACAGAAAACATGAAGCTGGAATCTGTTTGGCTTCTGGAGAGGACTTAAAACTTACAGTAACTGTGGAAGGCAAAGGTGAAGCAGACACATCACATGGCAGGAGCAGGAGCAAGAGAGAGCAAAGCAGGAGGTGCTTCACACTTTTCAACAAGAACTCACTTCACTATCACAAGAACAGCAGCAAGAGGATGGTGCTAAATCATTCATGAAGGATCCACCCCCATGAATCACCTCCCATCAGGATCCACCTCCAACACAGGGGATTACAATTCAACATGAGATTTTCGGTGGAGACACAGATCCAAACCATATCAGGGACGTTATGTAGTATTGGAGGAATCCCGGATCATAACACCCCATCCCGACCCGTTCCGGAAACCCCTCCCTACAAAGCCAAGGGCAAACCAAGCACAGAGAATATGGTTTGGCCTTTATATGCTCTCTAACACTGTGGAGTTACAGCCCAACATTTGTGTAATCCCCAGGATGAGGGAGCTGGGTCTCACCCAGGAGAGCCCTTCAGCCTATTCACCAGCAGTACGAGACCTACATCCAAAACAGTTCCATGGCTTTTATCGTACTGTCTCCTAAGCCTAAATTTTAGTCCTCCACTCTTGACTCTATAGTAGTAAGAAGAGAATGCCGATCCTGTCAGTGAGAAGACCCAAGTACTGGAAAGAGGAAGCTGTATGCTTGTCTCTGGGCCTAGGCAGGTGCCCTTCTCCTAGCCTCTATGCCTGTCCAGCCCTCTCAGGTCCTGGGCCCTGGGCCATGCCTGCTAGAGGATGGGAGAGGCTCAAAAGAGAGCAGAAGAGAAGAGGGCTATACTTTCTCCTGGGCTCTCTTGCTTCTCTGGCCTTGTAAAACAAAGTATGTTCAAAGATACCACACCTTTCCTCCCTTAGACCCCTTAATTCTACAAATCAATGTCCTTGTCCAGATTCTTTCTGCTCTTTGGTAGAGGAAGTCGTGTGGAGGGAAGAAGGTGCAGAGAAGCACTGAGCTTCCCCTAAAGCAGGGGTATCCAATCTTTTGGCTTCCCTGGGCCACACTGAAAGAAGAATTGTCTTGGGTCACACTAACACTAATGATAGCTGATGAGCTGAAAAGAAAAATCACACAAAAAATCTCATAATGTTATAAGAAAGTTTACAAATTGTGTTGGGCCATATTTAAAGCTGTCCCGGGCTGCATGTGGCCTGCAGGCCATGGGTTGGACAAGCTTGCTAGAGGCTGAAAATGATTTTGCTTTTTGTTCTCAGGGCTGCAGTTGACATTGTTGCTGCAAATATCAGAGTTAACATGGTGAGAATAGAAATCTAAATATTCATCTGAAAATTAAAGAGTAATTCAAATTACAGTCATATAAGCTGTTGGCCTTTTGGTCCTAATTTCTGTACAGCATAAAAGTAATCATAATGTTTCATGAAATATGTGCCAGGCTTTCTGTGTTGAAAGTTCTTTAGATCAGAGCACCTGTCTACTTGGGTGTCCTGGGTATTCTTCACTTGCCTTGAATGCAGTTTGGTCTTCAGTATTAGTTTCCAGCAAAGGAATGCAGGCAAAGTCAGGGTGTGATCAGGGCTGACTGCTGAGACACTGTTAGGATGTGGCAGGCCTGGTTCATACCTTGTCATCAGCCTGCAGACAACTGTTTCCAGAAAACCTGCTTTGGGCCAGCACAGGGCGCACCTTTTCCTCCGTGTGCACTGACATCAAAAGGCCTCGCCAACCTCCTTCCTACCACACAGGGGCATATTTTCTTGAACCAGTGACGTGGGAGGTCCCCTGCTATCCTGGATCAATTTCCTGTCTGCGTCAATTTTCTTAATGTCTTTGGGGGCCAAAGAAAAAATAATTTGAAAACGCTACATAAGGTAGTGAACACACACTTTGTTCCTCTTGTGGGAAGGGTTGTCCTGCTCTGGGACAGGCTCCCCTTTGGGAGGAATCTCACATTAGCAGTGTGTCTTGGCCATGCTGATGCTCAGCCACCCACCCTGCCGCCCCCAGGTGCTGCATGTTGCTTGGCTGGTGCTTCTTGACACATCTTTCAAGGCTTGCATCCTTTCAGGTTCTCCTGCCCAGAGTGATCCAGGTTTGTTTTATTTAACAAAGGGTGCTTGATGAGATATTAATCACTGAATGCTCATACAGGTCTTATAAGAGATGTTTTATTTATTTACTTATTTATTTAGACACAGAGTCTTGTTATGTTGCTCAGGCTGGTCTCAAACTCCTGACTTCAAGTGATCCTCCTGCTTCAGCCTCTGGAGTAACTGGGATTAAAGGCATGAGCTACAGTGCCTGGCTGAATTATTTTTATTTCTTGTGGTAGGGCCCCCAAGGATGTCTGCATCCTAATCCTCAAAACCTGTGAATAAGTTACTTTATATAGTGACAGGGATTTTCTAGATGCCATTGAGTTAAGATCTTGACATAGGAATATTATCCTTGATTATCCAAGTAAATCCAGTGTCGTCACAGAAGTTCTTATAAGAGGGAGGGAAGAGGATTAGAGTCCGAGAATCAAATGTGATTAAGGAAGCAAAGGTCAGAAGGATATACTCCCCTGAGCCAAAGAATGAGAGCAGCCTCCAGAAGCTGGAAAATAGAAACTAGGAAATTGATTTTCCCCTAGAGCCTCCAGAAGAAATGAAGATCTGTCAACACCTGGAATTTTGCTATGTAAGACTCATTTAGAACTTCTGACCTCTAGAACTGCAAGATAAATTGTGTTGTTTTAAGCCACTAAGTTTGTGATAATTTGTTTTAGCAGCAATAGAAAATGAATACACCAAGGCACAGAAGGTTAGGTAACATGGCCAAGATCATAGGAAAATGTGATAGAGCCAGGATTTAGATGTAGGTTGAGCATTACACTCAGCTATTACATTACACTGACCTCTCGCCTAGGGCCACTCTCAAGGGTGATGTCCTCTGGATTTACCAAACAACTGCAAGGGCAACAGTGCCCTTTCACTCAGGTGGAATAGAACTTAATGGAACATTATCAGACAGGAATGAATTTGCCTGGGCTGGAGAAACTGGCTGGCTGGCTCCTGCACTCTGCCGCCTCACAGCATTGCTAGCTTGTATCCAACCAGGTAAAACAGTTGTCCCTAAAATCCCACCCATGGACTTGACTGTGAGGATAAACAATGACCTCTGTTATGGTGCACACAAGGATGTTTCGAAAGAGGGGCTCAAAGCAGGGCATAATTGGCATTTATTCAAATTGTGCTTAATTGAATACTTCATCTGCACCTCCAGAAAGCCACATGGGGTACAGGCTCTGTAAAGAGGAAGTAATTTTCATTAACAGGATCTAAATTAGTCTGACACAAAGACCTACGTGGTGCCTGTGACTCGGCTAATAATTACTTTGTAATGAACCCGTTGCCGCAGACAAAGCTTTCCTTTTCTTTTCCTACTTTGTCCTTCCTTCCTTCCTTCATTTTTCTCACTACTTGGCTCCTTCCTCCTTCCCTCCTTGCTTCCTTCCCTCCCTTCCTTTCTTCCTTCATGATTCTGCATGTCAACTAAGTGTTTTTGTCAGAGAGGCCAACCCGGTGATGATGGGATGGCGCAGCCCCTGTGTGGTGGAAGCAGAGTTCATGCTTCCTGCTCACAGCACAGAGATAGCCAAATAAACTCTAAACCAACATGGACTTGGCTGTGTACCTCCTCCCTCATAAGAATGTGCACATAGTGCCTCTTGGGGAACTTTCCATTTTTGACTGCATCTTAAACCCAGCTTTTCCCTCTAACTCCTTCCACTGAGCCCACAAACACAACCTTAAAAAGTGCAAAAATAGTAAATAAATACATTAAAGATCCTCGAAGTCCGAAATCTCCTTTAGTCCTATTATCTTAACTGCAAAAAGGAGCTTGTCACCCCCTTCATAAAACATCTGGTGGTACAGAGTAGCTTTCAGGATAGTTTCTGGAGTATTCATCTGTCCTTCCTCTGGCAACCCACTGTAGTCATGCTTATCCACCCAGGCTCCAGTGGGGTCTGAGTTGGAAGGGGCTGTCACACACACGGATGCTGCAGAAGAATGCGGCATCGCCTTCCAACATGTGTTCAGAAAGAAAGGGGAGAGATGGGTATTTTATTAACACAGCAAGCTTTTTCCTTTCTGTTTAAAAGAAGATATTTTTACATGTATTTGTTATCCAGAGTAAAATAGTAATATTTGTTATCCAGAGTAATTAAAATGTAGATGATACTCTTTCTTGGTAGACATCACATTACTATCCAGTTAAAGAATTTTAGCTGCCTGCATTGTACTCAATAGACTGTTAACTGCTGTCTCAGAGGAGAGGAGCATAGCCTTTGCTTATATCATCCTGCAAACTTTGAAGAAACCTTTCGAGAGAGAGAGAGAGAGAGGCTCGTACTAGTGAGAAGTGTTTTTTAATTTAATTTTATTATTTATTTTAATTACCACTTGAGAGTGCTGTACATTTCTGTGAAAGTGGGTGAATTTTCATCTTGCGATTTATATCAGGAGCAGTGTTGTAGATGGTATCTGAGTTAATAGGTGCCATGTTTCCAATATATTCCAGTAGTGTTTTGGCACTTTGTGCAATTTGGAGTCCCTGGAATGAGTACCCTGTCAGGCCATTCCTTAATCCAGTTTGTGCTGTGAGTTCTGTGTTCCCCCTTGACTATACAAGGGGTTGCAGGTGAGGCTGATTACAGCCCATAAAGTTGTAAATGAGACTCACTGTCTACCTGGGGTCAGTACCCCTTTCCTACAGGCAGAGACTTTCTGTGATGACTGATGACTGAGGCTTACCACAGACTTGTAACATGCAGCTGAGTATGCATGTTCTCATCAGATTCCATATAATACCAGTGCTTGGGGTATAATGCTGCGTCCTCCTACTCATGCCCTCTAACGTGACCTTAGCTTTCATCCATTGCAGGTTGAAAGTAGGTGAGGGTTAATATTCAGGAAAGAAGCTGGGATGGAGGAACTCAATCTAGAGTAAGAGCTAACTGTCAGGAGGACAAGCCAGCAAAGAGGAGTTAGGGGGCCAGGGACCTGCTGGTTCCGTCTGCATTTCAGGACTGGGGACCAGAGCAGAAAGACAGCTGGGCCCCAACTTCACCCAGGGTGATGCTAGTCTTTCTAGGGTGTTCTGAGGCCCTTGGGAGGCATCCTATGGCCATAGGCTGATAAATGGGCATTAGTCACTGGGGAAATACATCGGAGTGGCAGGAGCCCATTAAGATGGAAGAAAATACCATGGAAGGATAGGCCCAGTGGACAGGAAGGAGTCATAGGATAAAAGGAAGATTTGTAACCCCTGGCTGACCTGTCTGTAGAGAGTACCATTTGGATCAGTTGTTTTCATTTTCTCAGTTTCTAAATTCTCTTTTCCAGATTGTGACCATCTTGGCAAACATGTCTGTCCTAGAGCAGTGCGCCTCTGATATCATTCAGGAGAATGGTATGTCTTTGCAGCAGTGTACATGTTATGTGGATTATCTGGATGTAGGGGACTGTCTTTGTGCTTGTGTGAATGCCTGTGCAGGTATGTAAATAGGTACATGTATCACCTCGCTTGCATGAGCATATATGTATGTGCTTGTATGTGCGCAACTGGGCCTATATATGTGTTTGTTTGCTTTTGTGAGGCCTAAATTCTAGTGGAAGACAGATAATGTACAAGAAGATAGAAAATGTCCAATGATGATAGTGTGACAGTGCCCTGGGGAAAATAAAATAGGGAAGAAGAGTAAGTTAATCTCAGGGTGGGGTGGTGGTGGGTGCTATTTTAATAGGGTGGTGAGGAGATGGCAAATATTTCATTATGATCCTCAAATTAAAAAATCTATTCCTACCAAGTAATACATTCCAACTTTAAACTGTTCCTATCTTATTGGATTTGGCCTCAGTAAAAAGCTGATGAAGGGGTGAGCATGGGAGAGCAGGTCAGAGCAACCTGAATGTATTGAGCCCTCACTGAGAGCATCTCTTCTCCCACTTGCTCCCTTGTTCCACCTTGTGCTGAACGTGTCACGAAGGTCCAGGTGGGGCAGGCCAGGTTTCATTGGCCTGGAAGCTGATCTAAGCCGTTTCTACCAAAGGACAAGGCGGCTGCCTTGCAGCTGGGAGCAGAGATGGTGAGGGCTTCCTGTGACTGGGAAATAAGGGAGCAATTAGCAACCGGTTGGAAACCAGAGACGCTAATGAGGCGGAGTGAGGTGGGAGCCTGGGCCTGCTGCTTCTGCTCTTGCTAAAACTCCTTCTCCCAGGCTTCCCTGCTGTCTTAACAAAGATACACTTCCCCATCCCCCATTGCTCTGTTACTAATTGAAGGACATCATTTTGTGTTAATTTTATGTGATTGAGCTAATAATGAGAAACTTTGCTGAGCCAGCTGAGGCCATGAAGCTGAGCTATTGCATCTGTGCCCTGTTCTTTCAGCACTTATAGAGCCTTATGTTGAAGTGCTCAGTGGGAGTTGGTCTCCATAGGCCTGTGAATTTGGGATTGGAATATCTGGCATCTGTAGAGAGTTTTATGATTCACTAATTGCTATTGACTGACTCACTCAGTCAACTGTTACTGAGACCTAATATGTGCCTGGCATTGTGCTAGACAATGAGAACAGAGAGATAACTAAGTCCCTGCCTTGGTCCTAGAGGATCTCAGTCTAGACAGAGAGCACAACTTACCAAAACTGACATATGATAAAAGTATAACATCTACAATAAAATAATGCAATAGAGGGAGGTTGGCATGGTGGTTGAAGTTGTAACTGAAACCATATTCTGTGGGCGTAAATCCTGGCTCTGTTTACTAACCATACAACTTCTCTGTTTTTCCATCTGCAAAATGAGAACAATCCCTACCTTATAAAGTTGTTGTAAGGATGTGTGTTAGAAGATTGTCTGGCACAGAATCAGCACTAAGCTAAGCCTATCTCCTCTTTCAGGAAATAGTGGCAGTTTCATGGAGTTTGCCTGAAGAAAGTTTAATGAGGGAGCTATTTTCAAAAGTGGGGCAGGATTTGAGTATTCAGCAATGGTGTCAATGCAACTGGGGTCTGATGGAAGACAGGCCTCTTAGGTCTGGGCAGGGCAAATCTTGTTGCACAGGCTGGACTTTGAAAGTCCATGGTTTAAAGAACAGTTCAAACTTAGATGTCTACACAATTCAGACAGGTAATATAAACAGACGAGGTGAGCTCACCAGAGACAGGTCAATCTCTTTCAGTGAGACTCTGTCTCAAAAAAAAAAAAAAAAAAAAAAAAAGGAACTCATGATAAGCTTTAACAATTTGTTTTTGTGTAGACAGGAGGGCCTAGTGTTGAAATTCAGGAGGCAATTTCAGAAGTTAGAGATCTGGATTTTTATAGAAATCCTTCAATTAGCATACTATCAAAAATCTAAAAAATTTTAGACACTGTGTAGAGCAACAAAACAAAGGAAAACTATATCCTTGGGTCATGTCTGGCTTAAGTTCTAAGCTGGCAGGAGCCTCTGGGTGCAGAAGAGGAGAGTGTGAGATGGGCAGTTGGGCAACAGCTCACATAGAAGGTGAGCTTTCACTACAACCTGCAGGATGGAGTTTTTTAGATGGAGCATCAAGAGGGAAAATGGCATCCATTGTAGAAAGAAAGTGTGGGTAAAGGAAAGAAGGTATGAGTGGACATGGGTGTGGTTTGTGGAACAATTAAAAGACAAATCTGATTTCATGGGGAGGTAGGAGGCTTCTCAGCAGAGATTATAAATCTCTGTCTAATTACTACACCCTTTTCCAGCTTGAGTTCTCTCTAAAACATTTGATCTAGTTATTATCAGCTAGTCATAACCAGCTTAGATTTGGATCACCTGTTACCACGGGGATTCATCACCACCGGACCTATCTCAGATGCAGCCAGTATCAGATGTGAAGAGGTGATGGAGAGAAACCAGTTATCTGAGTTTCTTTCATTTTTGTTTTCTTGATCCCAAATGTGATGCTACATCTGAATTTCAATAGCAGCTCCCCCAGCTATTCACTTCTCTCTGGGCTTCAAAATTAATTGTAATAGTACCTAATTCATGAAGCTACTGGAAGATTTTAGGGGATTATGCAGTTACTGTGCATTGCGCACAGTGCTGAGTATGTAGTAAAAGCTCAATAATAGCATTAAAAAAATAAATATGTCTTCAGATGCTCCTTAAGAGTATAGTGATTTGGTACATGGATTCACCCTCAGGAGTAGAAGGCATGGAGGAGTGGCCTTGTCCAGCTTCCTCCCTCTGGGTGAGACCCCTGAAGTCATCCTGACAACCTTTGCTTGCACTCTGTAGCCATCTGTCCAGCTGGCCCCATGGGGAAGGCTCTTTGCTGGGGGTAGGTACCAACTATTCCTTGTTTCCTGCATAGGGGTCCAGCTCATCATGGGCATGCTGTCTGAAAAGCCAAGGTCTGGGACCCCCGCTGAGGTGGCAGCCTGTGAGAGAGTCCAGCAGAAAGCTGCAGTGACCCTGGCCCGTCTCAGCCGAGACCCAGATGTGGCACGGGAGGCTGTGCGGCTCAGCTGTGAGTAGTGCTTGCTGGCTGTGGCTGGGGTAAAGTGTGGGGTTTGGGGGTGGGAGCAGCTCTGATTTCATGGTGGCAAGAGTGGACACAGGGCGAGGGGTGGCTAGGGTAAGCCCTATCTCTGGGGGCTAGAAAATGCTGGGATGGAGGCTCAGGGTACAGCCCCTAGTCTAGTTTGTAACCTGGGGCTGAAGCAAAAGGGAGAAAGGACCTAGAGAAGTGAAAGTTGGCCAGAACCGTGACTCACCTGCAGACTGTTAATAAGATCCCCATTCTTTCATTCACTCATTCATCTTTTCACTTGCTCGGTTATTTATCTATTCATCTGTTTACCTATCTACTTGTTCATTTATTCGTTAATTTATCCTTTAGTTCATTTATTCATTAACCCATTCGTGACTTCATTATTAATTCATTAATTTACCCATTAACATGCTAATTCATTCAGTCAGTTAGTTATTTACCCAGTAAATATTTTCAGAGCATCCACCCTATGCTAAGCTCTCTTCTGAGCACTGGGCATGTAACATTGGATATGACATTGTTCTGACGACAGGGGCTCACAGCCTCACAGAGGTGACAGATAAAGAGATATTCTCACTTCAGAATCATGGGAGTGACACTCAAAGCATGTCCGTGGTACATTTGACACGCAGAAGAAGTAGCCCATGTTTATCTGGGTGGGTCAAAGAATGTTTTAACAAGGGGGTGAGTTCTCTCCTGTGGTTTGATGGGTAAGTAAAAGTTACTCCCATGTGAAGGCTGAGAAAGGGCTCTGCAGGAAGAAGCACGAGAAAAGGCATGGCAGTGTCGCCAATCATCCAGGTACCCCAAGGGACAGTGATAGGTGGCCTGGGGCAGCAGAGGGTTCCTGCTCCTTCAGGACCTTACAGAGGATGGACACATAGACTGCATTTGCATACCTTCTACTATTATGTTATAATGAGAGTTTTTTTCCTTAAAGTTGAAAGCAGTCAGTCTGCATTGAAAAGCTAAGTCATTCACTTAACTCTCCCCAGTAAAGCCCTAGGAAATATTAGTAGAGTCTGTAGTTTTCTGTTATTTTAGCCACAATATATTTTCTGACCAAAACAGGCACTTGAGAAAAAAAGGTATAGCTAGGAATTTTGTCTGCTAAAGATTCAAATATTAAACATAGCTCTGGTAAAATCAGAAGTGCCTGAATAGGAAGTCCTTTCTTGGTGACAGGAGCACTATCTCTGCCACAGTTTTAACTAAGCTTGGTCTTAGCAGCCAGTGGCTGCTGTGGCACCTGTGGGTTTGGCTTGCACGCTTCAGCTTGGCCTGACCCTGACCAGGGTCTGTTCACCACTGAGGGTGTAGAAAGTTTCCATCACAGACTCCCCCAGTTGGGTTCATCCCCCTTCTCTGGCATATTGGGTGTGCAAAGGAGGCCTAGTACCTCTGGGTCAGGCCTGGCTAGGCCCCATCCTGGGCTTGAGGCTCTCTGTGTCTCCTACAGGCATGTCCCGTCTCATCGAGCTCTGCAGATCCCCATCAGAGAGGAACAGCAGTGATGCTGTGCTCGTGGCCTGCCTGGTGAGTTTTCAGTTTTCCCCCAGCTTTTCCTCTGGCCTTTGGGAGGCATACCAGGGGCATAGAAGAACTGGCTGTGCTGTAGCTGGCTTCAGTAAGCCATAACACCTCTCTGGGCTTTAGCTTTTTCCTTTAGGATTGTGATCATTGTAATATGTGTTTCACTTGATTCATAAAATTGTGATGACAATTATAGGAGGTCATATGTGTGAAAGATGGGGGCTGAGAAACTTCCTCTTCCCTCTGTTCTACTACTACAGTTTTAGGAACCAGGAACCTTTGAGGTTCATGTGGAATGCTAGCTAGTGGTATCTATGTCATGGTGCCTGCAGAACATATGAGCTAGGATAGGGATGTCTCCTGCCCATTTCAAGGGTAATGAAGTGAGAAAAGGCTCCATTTCTCCCCACAGGGAGCACATCTGCTGGTGCTTTTCCAGCATTGTAGCTTCCTCCTTCTTTGTGGGATAGAACAAGAAGGAACATGACAAGACAGGGGACTATACAGCCAGCCACCTGGATCTTCACCTTGAACACAAGCGTGTCCTGGGAAGTCCCCACCCAACATCTTTTTGCTAGGGGTCCACCATGAAATAATCAACAGTGCCAGACAGAAAATGCATGCTTTGTCTTTATACTCTCCCTATTAGGGCCGTAAGGATTCCTAAAGTAGAGTAGCTTCCATTTGGAAACTTTTAGGAGCAGGGAAGCCACTCTATAAACTGAACCCTTAACTTCCAGAAGAATGTGCCGGCTCTTGTGATCAAAGAACACAAGGGAGAAGTGATGTATTAAAGATCCTTCAAGCTGTCTCATAGTAAAGTCCTCTCCTCAGCCCATTTTTAGCTGAGCTCATCTCTTTTCTGGGAGTTTCTGATGGGCCTTGCACAGTTGTAGAAACAGCAGAGCATTGCTGTCAATCACACCTGTCTTGGTCGTACCATTAATGAGCTGTGTGACATTTGATAAGTCACTCAGTGCTATACATTTTATTCAATAAATGTTTACTGAATGGTTCTGTGTTCCATTCACTGTTGCAGGCTATGGGGATAGAGCTGCAGGAAAAAAGACAAAAATCTCTGTGCCCTCTTGCTGTGGCTTTATTTTGATACATGCAATCTTAATCTTTTTGTCCCTAATGCATGCAAAAATACATTGATTGCCTTATCTCCTCATCTTCAGAAAATCCCTGATCCTATTTTCATGGTGACAACTCAGTCACCTGAATGGGGTTATCTTTCCCAGTCGGATTCAAGAAGAATCAGAAAGTGCTATGAAGTTTACCCTCTTTAGCCCATGGGGTAAATCATGCCCCATGAGGGTCGAGATGTGCTAGTTAGAGATGGTTCTGGGGGCTCCACTTCCTGTTGCTAGGGTCATAGACCCTGCTCATTAATGCATAAAGATACACGCTCCTTCTCTTTGATCTGGCCTGGACATGACAGCACCTATGACTCCCAGCAACCGGCTCAAGCTATCCTCTCTTTTGAAGCCAACTTGGTTGGCCTGATTTCTCAGCAACAGGCTACCTGCCATGTCCAGGTAATGAGTGGTACTCCTGCCTTTTGCTCAGTATAACCTCATATCCTGGTGTTGCAGCATCCTACCTGTGTGCGTAGGTATGAGTGCCCTGGAGTCAGACTCCTGTGAGATGTCTAGAAGGCCACTTTCCCTCTCTGAGCCCTAGTTTCCTTGTTTCCAAAATGGAGATCATGACACTTAGCTTGCAGCATCATGTAGGGATTAAGTGTGGTGCTATGGGGAGAGTCTCAGTGTTTGCATTCCCTCTTTCTTTGCTTCTTTTACCATTCTAGATATTCCCCCACTCTTTTTGCTTCCAGGGGTGAGAGGGGAGGGGCACCTTGTTCCCTGCTGTGTATATGCTCAGGAAGAGGGAATAAATTAATATTCATCAAGCACTTAGCATGCATTGCCTTAGTTAACTGGTAAACACTTGTAGGTAGTAGGTACACAGCTCACATTTAGTTTCAGGTTGCTATACAGTAGACCTCAATCATTAAAGCACTTCATTTATTCATTTCTTTTCAGCCAAATTTATTGAGCCCTGTGCCAACCTCTGTGTTGTCTGCTATAGATACAGAGAAATAGGAAACAAGATTCTTACTTTCAAGGAGCTCAGAATCTAGTGTAGGAGCCGAAAGCTAGTTACAGTCAAGTGTGAGAAGCTTGAGGTCAACCCAGGGGCCCTGGTTGCACAGGAGAGGGAGGGATGGACTGTCTCTGCTTCAGGGTAATTGGGGAAGGCTTCATGAGGGAGATGCCAATAGGCTAGAGCAGGAAGTCACTTCAAGTCACAGGTAAGAGTATGAGCAAGGAGGAGGAAGAATAGCTCAGAGGTAGAGCACTGGACTTCAGATTTGATTCTTTTAGACTCTTACCATGAGAATGAGTGCTACTCTGCAGGAATGTGCAAAATCTCAAGGAGCAGAGGGATCATCTCAACTGGGCCATCATAGATCAGCCAGTTACCAGGCAGCCTGATGCAAACACATCAGCTGAACCTGGCTTGGATCAGGAAAGCTGTGCGGCTGACACATGGACTTGTGAGCCACAATAAAATGCTTATTATTAAGTTAAAAAAATATGAGCAAGGGCACATGGACATAAACACAAAAATAGCATACTCATTGCTCATTGTGTGGGGAGCTGAGGAGTGACTTTATTCTGCAGGCACCTCTCTTTCCTGTTCATTCCCCCTCACCATATGTTGAATTTCTCAGTTAGCAGAATCCCTATCTACTTTTACAATATGTTCTCCCTTTCTTTTCTTCTTTTTTCTATAGTGCCTTGGACAGGACCTTGTTGAATTTGTGGATAAATGAATAGTTCTTGCTGTTCTAAGGTTACTCTAGGGATCTGGAAACAATAAAGACCATTATTAAGATTATTAACAGCTTTCAGATGACATACATCTTAGTGATCAAGGTGCAAATAAAGCCAGGTAATTAAGAGATGAGGTTGCTATGGTGACCAGGTGACCAAGATGGTCACTGAGGTGCCGAATGGCCAACATGACAATCAGCCCAAATTGTCTGGTAAATGCACCACTTCCTGAAATGCACATTTCAGGTTAGGTGAAGGAAATACATATACCTGACATGGCCCAGTCTGACATGTGTCACCTCTTCTGTCTTCTCCCCAGGCTGCTCTGCGTAGATTGGCTGGGGTCTGTCCCGAAGGCCTCCAGGACTCTGATTTCCAGCAATTGGTCCAGCCTCGGCTTGTGGACTCCTTCTTACTCTGCAGCAACATGGAGGAGAGTTTTGTGTAGCGAGTGTGGGAGAAGAAAGACATTTGGCTGTTCTCACGCCCCCTCTGAGTATGCACCAGTGAACATACCTGAATACATACCAGCTCTCCTCATCTCCTTATTTATACTTAACTTATTTTTTTGTATGAAATAAACAGAGGGTAAAATCTTAAGTAACATCATCAAACAGTCTGTGGTCCTTGGGAATCTTCTTTGTTTTTATTTTTTGACTTCTGTAACTTTTCAGTTGCAGATGTTGAAGTTCATAATGGCTAATATGACAGATTGTCATGAGTGATTCCACTTCATCTTGTTTTCTCTACTCTTACTATATAATCTTGCCTCATTTTTTTGAACTTTGGAACCAAAGTGTTTCAACTACCTAGCAGGGTTTTTATTTTTTTTTAAGTTGTATTTGCTCTTCCCAAAAATCTAAAATGAATTTCATAATTGGGTAGACTATACTGGAAGGAAGCTTTTTTTCTTTAACTAATGGAATCATGTAACATGTATCCTGGATTTTCTTATTAAATTGTATTTTAAACTAAGTTCTTGCTTCCCAAGGTTTCATTCCCCAAAAACTTTTCCAACTATTAAAAGTATATACAGAATTGTCTTGTTTTCATAGGTGTATAAATAGGTGAAGTTCTGAATGATTTAGTGAGAAACCACAATGACTTTCAAAAATACTTCCAAAGGCACCAGAAACTCTGCTTCCTTTGTCTTCTCTGCTTTTGTGTAACCTCCTATTCATCTCCTGGTAAATAGAATCCCCAAATGAGGTTTATTGAATGATTCCTCCTCAAAAGTATATTTGAAAGCAGTGGTGTGCTGAAGCCAACTCATGCCCGCTCATGAGGGGCAACTGTGAGAATTTCTTGCCAACTCTGCACTTAGTGACCTTGTGTTGATAGCTGTGAGCTACCTCTTGAACCCTCCTGTTGAAATTGACCATACTCAATTTACATTCCAGAAATTAGCAGATGCTATAAAGCACAGCTTTTGATTTTTTTTTTTTAAGAAAGAGCTGGTTTACTGATATCACGGCTTGAAAGTATCTCAAAAATCTGTGTATCCTTCTGAAAATTTTGATGCCATCAAATTGTGATATAATTTTACAATATAATTGTGTAAAATTGTGATATAGTAATGGTTTCAAGAAACATTTTTTAAAGTCCCAATTACTAGTTTGAGTTAACCTATTAAACTAAGTCCTAGGCTAAGCATCTAACATGTATTATCTAATTTATTCCTCACAATAATCACATGAGAATTAGTATATTCATATATGTTATTATATATGTTCATATTAATTAATTTCCCAAGGTAACTAGCTAGTAAGTGATGCTAGGATTTGAACTTGGCAATATCTATTACCAGAGCCTTTGCGCTGAAGTCATATGCTATATAGAAAGGTAATGTCTAGGTCCTCCCACCTAATGTGAGGATGACGATGATGATTATGGTGATAGCAAACACTTGGCCAGCATTAACCAGGTGCCATGCACTTGTTTGATATCATTCTCTGAACGGACATTAGCATTTATTACTACATACTCATTTTACAGAGAAGAAACAGAGGAAACTTGTTTTACAGATGAAACAGTGGAGCTGAAGTAGCATGAAAATGGCAGACCCTGAATTCAAACCAAGGTCTTCTGAGTCCTTATACAAAGCTTCCATTTTTAGAAATAAGGGTTTTATATATATATAATATATTTATAATATATATATTTATATATCTCTCTCTCACTGAGTTACACAGATTGTTCAGATATTTGCAACTTTCATCATGTCAGATCAACAAATAACTTTTGTTAATATTATTATCTCATCCAAAAAGTTTTTAAATATTGGGAAGCTATCAAGCTTGAAAGCATAAATTGTGTCATTGGCAAGAAATACTGTCAGTTGTTTTCCTTGAAGAGACAGACTCACTTTGTTCATTTTTGAGAAAGTGTCTGCCAAATGCCTCAGTCTCAATAACCACAGTTTGTCAATTATTCTTTCAAGCAAAAATAGTGTTCCACAGAAAAAGCAACTAGTTCATACTGCAATTCAAACAATCACACAAGTGCCTTTCTCTCCAAACTGACATACAGTAGAAATGCCTGAAGTGCAGTTCTCATATCACTCAGAATAGTTAAAATGACATGTACCAGGGGTCAGAATTTAATATACTTAATACTTTTTACTGCTTCATCAAGGATATTCCTAAGTGGAATTGGCATTTAAAAATTTAAGTGTGTGGCAGTGAAGAATACAGTAAGTACAGTTTGGTGCCACCACCTTGATCATATTAAGGTGCAAACTCACCATTGCTTTTGCACCATTAGTGCAAATGTTAATAATTGGAGAAAGGTAAATAGCCTCTTAGTATTTTTATAAAAATAGTTTTGACCTCACAGAGCTCCTGAATATGTCTTAGGAATCCCCAGAGATCAGGGGCCCTACTTTGAGAATCAGTGATCTAGTTTAATACTCATTTTATAGTGAGGAAACTGAGGCCTGCGTTTAGGGGAAGCAAATGATTTTTCCCCAAAGCATGCAGAATGAAGAATAAATCCCAGCCTTTTGCATTCAAGGTCAAAGCTCTTCCCATTCCTCAATATCAGGCCAGTTGGTCACTGATACCACAGAACTGGAAGAGATTAAAGGAGAGTAGCTATTTGCACAATATATAATGCTGAAAATTTCTACACTGCAACCTTTATTATGATGGTGTATGTATATCAGTCAGGGACCTGGTAGGAAACAGAATTTAACTCAGGTGGTTCAAATAATAAAGTTTTAGTAAAGAGACTACTTGGAGACTTGAATGCAGAGTTAAGGGAGCTATTGAGGGATGCTGAGTTGCTCAGAGCTTAACCACCACAGTAAGCCCTTACCATCCTAAGGGCAGAAAGGCAAAGTGACATAATAGGGTTACCAAAGTCCACTGAGAACTGCAGTTGTGGCAGAGGGGCTATCCAGTAGGAGCCATAGGGACTTAGCCACTGTGAGGGACATGGAGTCTGGGCAGGAAGGCAGCAGGACAGAAATACCTGGACCATCTCTTCTCACCTTCTGACCTCCTGCCATTGCCTTCCATTGGCTAGTGCTCTGGTGAGAGCCAGCTACGAAATCCTCTGGAACAAGCCTCTTGAGAAGAGAGCAAGGCAGAGAAGAGTAGAGATTGGATCTAGGTAAGGTTAGGAAGGGGTTAAACAGAATAATAAGCACAGGTAGAAAAGTCTACATCCTTTCATATTCTCCAAAAAGCAACCAGTATTACTTTGGGCCTGGAGCAAAACATCAAGTAACAGGATTTATGAGACCTGTTTTAAAGAAAGAGAAGGTAGAGGGGCTCTAGGTACAAGCAAATAATATCCCTCCTTGGAGCCTTGCTTCAGAAAGAAGAACCAGGAAGGATGGAGTGGGAGATGGCACTAGATTGTGGTAAAATGGAAGTAGGTTGTGCCCCAGGCCTCAGAGTAAGGAAGACAGAGATATTCAGGGAAATACCTGTCCCAGGCCTTAGAGTAAGGAAGACAGAGATATTCAGGGAATCACAGAGTGATTCCAGAGGCCCAGGAGTTGGTACAGAGCTGAATCAAGCGCAGCAGACTGTTAAAATCACAGAAGATCTATAAAAAGAGGAGTCAGTGTGGTTGATGGCTAGGGGTGTGCTCCAGGGAAAGGTGTAAGAGTCTTTACCTTCCACACCAGCCTCTGGCTCTGCCCCATGGTTTTTCCATAGTAACTTTCACCCCACTGACTCTCTACCTGCACTCTGTACAAGACAACTACTATACCGGGCAGGACATTGGCCAGTTATGTGGCCTTAGGCCTTCATGATTGAGGCCATTGCATAAAATCCTCACTGGTCAGGTGTAGCCACAAGTTAGCTCAGCTCACACAGATCAGGTTGGAATGGGAGTGGCTGATTGATTAAAAGTTAGGATTTCCTTGGCCTAAAGCATACCTATTTCCTGAAATCTTCCTTTATCTCTAGGCCCTAGTACAGGATAGGGGCTGGGACTGGGTTTTCAGGAAGTCCACAGGTTGAGTAGAGTCTATGTCTATATACACTGTCTAGATGGGGAAATCTGGACACCCAGATTCTTTAGGATAAATGGGCAACAAGCTATGGAGAAAAAATCACCACCAGCTGGAATCAGGAGGATTCCTCCATGAGTTAAAAATCCTAGCTCTACTACTTTACTGTTGTTGACTTTGGACAAGATTTGGTACCTCTATGAGCTTCTGTACTCATCTGTAAAGTAGGGATAATACTCCTGCCTGACCTCCCTCTTAGGATTAGGATTAGGATTAAGATTAAGGGAGATCATTTGTATGAAGTTTTTAGTACACTATAAAGTTTTGTGCAAATGTAAGTTGTTTTCATCATTACTGTCATTTTGGAAAGGACTCTGTAGATAGCCCAGTACTTCATTTTACTTAAGCTGGGCTCCCTTGGCAGTATCTCTTCTAACAGAATCCTCCATTATTGCTCACAGATCTCCAGTGAATGCCGTTACCATCTCTAATATTTGACAGTCTTCAGGATCAGGAAGTTTTACCGTATGTGAAGCCATACTCTGAAAAGTCATCTGTTGTTCCTAGTGTTGGTGTCTATCTGTTGGCATGTTATCTGTTGAACAAAACAAATTACTTCCAAATTTAGTGGCTTAAAACAATAACAACTACAACAACAGCAACAGCAACAACAACAACAACAAATTTATTCTCACATTTCCTGTGGGTCATGCTTTCAGGAACGGCTTAACTGAGTGGGTATTGCTCAGAATTTCTCCTAAGTTTCTAATGAAGATGTTGAAAGCATTTACAGAATGGCAGATCAAGGGCTCCCAAAATCTGCTTCTCCATAAAAGCAATGAGAACACTGTTAAAGATTGTAAAAATCAATTTTTTCAGAACTGACAATTAATTAAAGGCTTACAATAATCCATGGAGTCCTGAAGAAAAAGGCCTGAATCTCTGTAAGAACAGTGAGCTTTGTGGTGTTTAACCTGTCTCATTCTCATACCTCTCTCCCTAGCTCCAGTGTATTCCTAAAGAACAGCAGCCTCAAAACTACAATAGCTGTGAAAAACAGCAGCCTAGCAGCTCCTGGAAGAAGAAAAATGAAGTTTCTGCAAAAATTCCAACTAGACATCCACATGCAAAAGAAATCTGGTTGGAACGCTACATTATGCCAAACACAAAAATTAACAGAAAATGCATTATAGAGCTAAGTATAAGAGCTAACACTATGCAAGTCTTTGAAGTAAACACAAGTGTAAATCTTTACAATCTTGGGTTAGACAATAATTTCTTGGCTATGATGCCTAAAGCACAAGAGACAAAAGAACAAATAGATAAATTGGACTTCACCAAAATTAGGAACTTTTGTGCTTGAAAGACCACCACTAAGAAAGTGAAAAGGCAACCCGTGAAATAGGCAAAAATATTTTCAAGTCATATATGTGATAAGGGATTGATATCAAATACAACAAATTCTTAAAATTCAATGATAGAAACACTACCCAATTAATAGCTGGACAAAGGATTTGAATAGATATCTCTCCAAAGGAGACACACAAATGGCCAAAAGGTACGTAAAAGATGCTCAACATCATCAGTCATTAGGGAATGGAAATAAAAATTGCAATGAGATACCACTTCATACTGTCTAGGATTGCTAAAATAAAGAAAAGACAATAACATGTATTGGTAAGGATATAGAGAAATTATAACCTTCATACATTGCTGGTGAGAATGTAAAATAGTGCAGCCACTTTGGAAAACATTCTTTTAGTTCCTCAAAATATTTAACATAGAGTAATCATATGACCCAGAATTTCCATACATGGTATATGTTCAAAAGAAATGAAAAAGTATGGTCACACAAAAACTTGTACGCTAAGGTTCATAACATCATTATTCATAGTTGCCCAAAAATAGAAACAACTCAAATGTCCATTAGCTGATAACTAGCTTTTAAAAATGTAATAAACCATACAATGGAACATTATTTGGCAATAAAAAGAATGAAGCATTAATGTAGCTACAACAGTGATTAACTTTGAACACATTATGCTAAGTGGAAGAAACCAGTACAAAAGGCAACATATTGTATAGCCATGCCTGCATGGATAGGAAGTGGATTCGTGGTTCTCAGGGGCTTTGGGGAGGAGAA